GGGGGGGGGGATTGGGGAGTTGTTTTTGGGGGCTCGGTCACTCGAATTTGGGGTTTTTTCCGGGGAAAATTTTTGGGGGTCCCTGGGGAAGGTTCCAAAATTTGCTTTTTGGGGGGGGTTCGCTTGGCCCTGGCCCTTGTTGGGGGGGAGGCCTTGCCATCGGTGGGCAAAACATTAAGTTTGGGAGGGGGAAGGGTTTGGCCTTCGATTTTTAGGTCATGGGGATTTGGATTAGGAAGGCCTTTATTATGGACCTGCAAAAAGGGGAGGGGGGGGGGCAAAAAAAATTGGGTTGGGTGGGAAACTTGAGAAATTAGGGGGATTTGGCAGGACCTCCAAAAAGGGGAAATTTGGTTCAGAAGAAGCCCCCGGGGGAAACCCGGGAGGGAAAGGTTAGGGGCCGGCTTTGCCCCGGAAGGGGGGGAAGGAAAATGGGGTGTTCCTCGCTGGAAACCCTAAAAAAAAGGTCCGGGTGGGTCGGGTTCCCAGGATTTTAGGGACTTGAGGTCCATGAAGGTAGGTATTTTTAGCCCCCCCCCCCCCCCCCTCTCTCTCTCTCTCTCTCTCTCTCTCTCTCTCTCTCTCCCCCCCCCCCCCCCATGTACGCATACAATTTCACAACTCAACTCCCTCGCACAACACTGGCTGGACAGAAAGGAGAAAGGGAATTCTACAGAGTGAGGGAGAGATCCCCAGGGTGCCATTTACTGGGAAACTCGAGAGTCGAGTGGTCACATTCCTGAGTGAGGACTCAAGGGACAAGGCGTGCCGTCTAGTTGGCCTCTGCAGAAACTAGAAGGTGCGGGCCGGTCACTCTGTCTGGCGACTGGGTGTCCATCAGGGTGCGTAGGTGGGACTGACCACTGTGTGCACTGAGAGCACTGCGTGTGTGCCCGCGTTGTCGGCGCGCGTGTTGGGTTCGTCTTGCCTGTGGGTTGGCGCTGTTTGGCTTGGGGGCCGCCCGCCGCGCGCGCCGCCACCGGGCTGAGTCCACGGTCAGGGTGCCGAGCTGTTGTGTTATAAACGCTCCGTAGAGAGCCACCAGACGGAGAGTGGCTCAGCCGACAGCCCCGGCCCCGGCGGGCCCCAGGTCCCATCCCCAGAGACCGCCTAAGCACCTAAGCGGCCTAAGCGGGGGGGCGCTTAGGGTGCTTAGGTGCTTAGGTCGCTCTCGCGAGCGTAGCTACGTGCTGACGTTCTCATACGAGTGATCCTGAGTACCCACATGATGTGCCTGCCTATCGCTAAGTACGAAATTGCGGCTTCACAACGCTCACGATCTGGTCGAGCCCTCGAATATCACACGCACGCACGTGGGGTGCCGGGAACGACTACATATCAGCGTCGAATGCCTCCGCCAGCGCTGCGAACTCCTTATCCATCCAATTTTGTACGCTTGCATCACTGATTTGACCTCCTCCGCATGAGGCTGCTGGGCTCGGTTCAACTGCCGCTCAGCTGCGCACACATGGGCTTCCGCGAGCTGACGCTCCATGAGCAGCGCCATTGTTACCGCCCCAGAAGCTTTGACGCGTTGGCTGTGAAGCCAATCGCGCCCGCACCATAGTGATAGCACCCGGATCGGGCTACTCGTCGATCCAGGCGGCGAGTTAATTCAGCTCCTCGGGAGTTGCTGCCTGCGGTGGGGGCGGCTGCTCTGGCAGAGTCGCCTCGATACCGGCCTCCGTCAGCTGCTCATTAACCCACTTCTTCGCCTCCTGCGTGGCGGCGAACCGGTCGGCCGATCGCTCTTCGCAGTGATGGCGAGTCGCTTCTGCTTGCGTATGCTCTCTGGAATATTCAACGTCACGAGCACGCCAAAGTCGTTGGGCTTCTCCGCCCTGCCGACCTGCTTCTCATTGACGTGAGTATCCGCAGCTCAGCGAGTGACGACAGGAACGAGTCGGTCGCCACCTGATCCGTGAGTGCCACAGCAGGTGCGGGCGACGACGTGCTGGCCATCGCGGCGCGGCTAGAAGGCTGAAGCGGAGCACGGAACGCCAAATTTGAGCGTTTCGAGCGGTTGTTGTTTTGTGGTATGGCGCAAGGGCGAAGGTTACTTCGAAAGTTACTTCGAAAAAAGTAAGCTGTTACTGCGAGAGAGCTCGCGGAGAGCTTTTACATGGTGTGTTTAACGTCGTGTGGCTCCCAGGGGTTGCCCGTTTACACGGTGGGGGCGCCCGCGGGGCTGGCACCCTGACCGTGGACTCAGCCACCGCAGGCAGGCAGTCGACCATAGGTGATGCCTGTGCGCAATATTTATCCGCCGACCATATCCGCCGACCAATGAGCAAAAAAGAGGTTTTTGATTGAGGAAAAAGATCGATTCACTATCTCCTGGTCTCTGACTGTTGCGCGGCGCAGGCCGTTAGCTCTAGCGTCTAGGGCGGCGCCTCCATCGCCGCCTTCATCGCCGCCTCCATCGCGGCCTCTGCAACCGCCGCGCCGCCGCCACCTCCGTCGTCCGCCGCTACCGCCGCTGCCGCCTGCGCCTCCATCGCATCTCGGAAGCGAGTCATCGCGCCGTGCATCGTGCGACGCACAAAGCTCTGCGCCTGCCAGGGACGAGAGGGGGGCTGAGAATGTGACCGCACGGCGGGATGCCGGGCTGGGCGCGCCAGTCTCGTCTCGGCCAGCGGGCCAGCAAGGTCCGGCAGCGTGTAGGACATCCGCAGCCGCACCGTCGTCGCACGGGGCTGCCCAGCCACCGGCGTGAAGGTGGCCTCGCCCGAGTTTTGGACGCCGCTGAGCGACCGCCATCGCAGCGCGCGGGGCGGATCGAGCTCGTGCATCGCCTCCCACTGGACCAGGTTCTGCAGCCCCGCCGCGTTGACTAGCCGTGTGAGCGGTCGCGGCACGCGCAGCGCCCACTCTGATCGGCGCGCGGCCGGATCGACGAGCGTGACGCGCTCCAGCAGCGGCGACCACTCTGGCATGCGCTCGATGTCGGCGTACACCTCAAACAGCAGCTGCGGTGGCGCTCGAATCACAAGCTCGGCCGAGGTCTCGCCGCTCCAGAGGAGCGGAGGTCGGCAGCGACGGCGCGAGGCAGTGTTCGAACATTCGGATCGCGAGGCCGGTGCGATGTAGCAGCAGCAGGCGCCATGTAACAATAGCAGGCTGCTGAGGCACAGGCTTCTCATGCGTCCGTTGCCAACACTGGAGACCGCACAGCAATGATCGTCTGGTAGAGGCGAGCGCCGCGACGAGGTCGAGATGGGCTAAGGTCACGCACCGGGTCCCCGCGGGAAGCCCGCGCATAGGACAACGACGTCTGTCCCACACACGCACAGACGCGCACATACATCATGCTTGGGCACACCCCACAGTGTAGTGGTGTGAGCACACAAGTACTAGCAGAGTGCACACCTGCCTTGGCGGGTGAGGATCCGAGAGAGAGAGATTTTTAGCAATACCAATTTGTTTTGTAGGATCCGTAAGAATCAAAGCCTGTTGGTGCCAAACCCCAAAAACGTGCTCGAGCGCGCCGAAGAGAGACGATCCACGCTCGAGGGAGTTAGCGAAAGTCGCACGGGCAGAGGGGAGACCGAGGCCTCCGGCAGTCCGCACCGCCTCGCGAAAGGGAAGCAACGATCAACTCCAGCTTGGACTTGGGTGCGCCGAGCGCTGGCGCGTAGGTCGCGACCGACGCGCAGCGCGGGCACGTCGCGAGCACAGGAGCGCCGCGAGTGCCGTGCGCGTGCCACTATGCACTAACCTGGTTGTGCCGGGCAGGGCAGTAGCCAGTACTTGAACGACCACATCGCTGGATGAGAAAAAGAATTCGAAAACATCTCCCTGGACTGGCACTACAAAAGAAAAAGAAGCTGATACACCAACACCGTGGCACTAATTTTTTTCTTTTTCCAAGTAATCTTCCGTGAATGCGATAACGATATTAGGTCGGCTCTTGTAACCCCTCTCTACCAACTACCTTCTGTTAGACCTAGAACGACATTTCTAGAAGAGCTTTGAAAGGCCTCACACCGTCAGGCTCCGCGGTGCGCACAGGGCGGGCATCAGCTGCGAGGGAGACATCACCAGGTTGCGCTGCTCCTCGCGCTCCGCCTCCGAGCCTTGAAGCACGGCTCGCCTCGCCTTCTCGGCCAGCGCCGTGATTTCGCGCTTCGAGTATCTTCGGGAGACTCCCCTCGGCGCTCCCGCAGCTGCTGGCCGGCAAGCCGGCCGCGCCTGCCCGTGCCGGCTGCATGGGGCGTACAGGTGAGATGAGATGCTGCCCCGAGAGCGCGTGTCCGTCCGACTCGGGCTCCGGCTGCGTTGGCAGCTCGGGCTCCGCTTCGATGCACTCGCTGGCGTTCCTGCTGGCCGGAGGAGTTCTTCCCTGAGCATGTTGGCCGGTGAGAAGATTGGTTCCGCCGTCGTTGGCGACGAAGCCAAGCTCAGTGACCTCCACGACGAACTTGAGCACGCATCCGCTAAAAGCAGCGCTCGCCCCCGCGGTGGCATCGGTGTGCGAGGGCGGTCCGGCAGTGGCGTTGAGAAGGACCAAGCACGCGGGAGCGGCGCATGCGAAGAGCCAAGCCTCGGTGGGAAGGAGGTGGGCATGTCTCGCGAGTGCATGAGAAACACCCGCGGCGGTTCGAAAGCGTCTCGAGCACCGCGGCCACTGGCAACGTGCAGCTCGTACACCGGACTCACCATGCGCCGCGTTTCACCGCGCGGCCGGATGTGAGCGGTCCGGCCGGCGCCCGCGAAACGATTTTTTCAACAACGTCGAAATGGAGCCGGAGGTGTACACGCGCAAGCCCGCGGTGCACGCTCGGACCAACTTTATGCGACCGTTTGCAGAGGCTCCAGCGCCGCCGGAGTGGAAGGGCCACGTCAGGGCCACTCTCATGCGTGAGTCGAAGAAGTTGCAGTCCTTCAAGGCCAAGACCGTGGGCCGACCATATCGTCCTAGCCTTCTGGTGAGCGAATATCTGCTGCCAATGCTTACGAACACATCTCACCCAACGCCACGAACACATCTCGCCCCCATCAAATGACAGGACGACAACTCGCGACCGTACCTCGGCGGCGAGGTCGCCCCAACGTCCTGGTACACTGCGCCAGCGCTCGGTGAGTCAATCATGAGCATGACTCAGGCTCGGGCCAGCAAGCTCTTCGACGCACCTCATTGAACGAGGTGAGTTCTGATAGCGCGACAACTGGCCAAGGGACGGACGGATGGGCTTGGGGCCCTTCAGACCCCGTTTCGTGTCGAGTGTCGTCGAGTCACCGACTGACACGTGAGGTCTACTGTGTCTCCTGTGTGCTGTGAGTCTGTGAGGAGAGAAGTCAGAGGAGGACTTTGGAGTTCGTCGACAGGATGAGTGCAGTTCTACTTGGGAGTGCGCCGCGATTCCTCGCACCGCGTGGCTTCTCATGACATGTTCGCTCAAAAAAAAAGAGTGTGCCTTATTTTGTTGACACTCTGATCACTGGACACTTGTGTCTTGTTAGACGGAAGACGGTAGAGTCTGAGACTGCAGCGAGGTATGTGTCGCACAGGGGCCGCGGAATAAACAATACTCCATTTCATACAACGCAGGCGTCTCGAGTGGGGAGCGGGCCCGGCCCAGGCAGCACACCACCCTCCACCCACGTCCGCGACAGGACAACGGCACAGTCACCGTGGGGTTGACGCTATAGGTCGGGACGACCTGAAAACTGCGCCCACGCGTGGGACGCACACCACGCAGGGGAGCGAGGAGGGAGAGGGCGGGTGTGGAGAAGAGAAGCGAGCGGGCGGCGGAGGCACAAGGTCCGCTCTTGCTCCCGCTCCACCTCAGCCCGGCGGTTGCAAGCGGCGCGCCCCTCGGAGCGACTGGCGGCGCCCCTGTTCGAAGAGCATGCTCCCCTTGGGGAGGGTGCAAAACTTGCCCGCGCCCGGCACAAACGTCGCGTTCCC